CACAGGTGAACCAAATGCCATTGATTTTTCTGCGCATGAGGACATAAAGGAGGGTCAACCTGTGTCTGCATCCTGCTCTGTGTTTCACTCCTGCCCCACATATCCACCAGCTTTTCACTGGAGTCACTCTGGAGAGCAGCATTTTCAAGCACAGAAGCTTCATGATGGCCAGTGGAAGGCAACATCAATTTTAATGTTTCGCTCAAACCGCACTGATCACAACAAACTGTTACAATGCAGGGTAACATACCACGGAGGAAAGCACCAAGAAACATCCAAGACCCTTAAAGTAAAATGTAAGTGTGCATTTCTAAATATGTGTTGATGATAAAAGACAAATTCCTCAAGCATTTTAAAAACTAAAATTTGTGCAGTACTTTTTGATGTATCATTTACATGTTTAAACAGACAAAAGAAAGTCCAAATAAAAAGAAAGGGGATTATATGTAAAGCAGAAGCTAAGGGGGTCAAACATTCCAGCGTGATTGGTGACGTGATAAATTTCATTTCAGCAGTGAATGTGAAGTTGTGTTACCATTTTAAAAAATATCATTATTACAGTCTAATTTTTGCAGCTTCTGCATAGCTTCAGTCAGAGTCACAGGATTCACAGTCATCATGACTCATATAGATTACAACCACAGTCAGCAATAAGATGTCTGGTATTTTCACTGGATGGGCATGTGACAGAAAGAAGAGCAAATTCTGTCTGTGTCTCCGTTTATCAGTTATGACTTTATAAGTCAATGGTGATGTTAGTTTAGCAGTCTGTCTGGTCTCCATTGACCGAAATATATCAAATATTAGATGGACTACTTGGATATTTTGTTAGTTCATGGTAGGGTTGGGCAATATGTAAAAATTTTCCAACCGACAATCGTCAGTCCAATAATCGAAGATGGGCGAGTCACCCATTTTTGATGGGTGGAGCAATGTAATCATGCACGGACTGATTTGCGCGTTTACAACACAGAATAAGTTCAAGCATGGACAAACTAATTTCCCAAAAAATTTAGAGCGTTAAAGCGGTCATCACAATTAACGAGGTTAAAATTTTTAATGCACTAAACCCATCTGGATGGGTTAATTGTTAATCGCTTTTATCATGATGATGGCACGTTAACGCTTACAGCACAAAGAAATATATAAAGGCTTTAAACCACATGAAGGGGGTAAACCCAAGGATGTAACCAAAGTGGTGTGCCACTTGTGCAGACGTATAGTGAGAGCAAAGTACTTAAACACGACTAACCTGCATGAGCATGTACGTGTCCACCATCCGGCTGAATATACTTGGCTGTCACCAGCTTCTGCAGCTCCATCAACAAGCATTTCGGCGCACTCTGAGGAGGGTGCATTTGCTCGCTGTTAAAACGGTGCTGTTTCTTTCTGTTGACTGCTTCTATTAGCTCCATCATTCTTAGCAAACTTACTCATTGGCAAATAAATAAATAAATTGCCTATCGCCGATGGGCTCAGCCTATCGTCGATATATTTGTCCAATCAGAATCTTGCTGACTTTGGCAACAGCTTGAAAATTTACTCTAGTACTACCATTATGTCAAAATGCTTAATGAAACTCAGCTTTTACCTCACTGTGTAAAATGATACAAAATGCTGCAGAGTAAGGGTTAAATGTTTCTATGCAGATGCTCCAGTGAATGTGAAGGTCGAGTACCAGTCAGATGTGAATGAGGGAGAAACTGCACACCTGAAGTGCTCCAGTGATGCTAACCCTGTCAGCAGCTATGAGTGGCACAGTGAAACTGGTGTTCTGCTGAATAAGGGAGAAACCTACACAATGTCAAATGTCTCCAGACACTCAGAGGCCGTGTACTGCACTGCTGTTAATGAAGAAGGGCGAGTCAAATCAAGCACCCTGAAGCTCAATGTGTTATGTAAGTAAATAATAGAACAAATATAACAACAAAAGATGAATCCATGGATATATGTTTCTAATTACATTTGCTGTTCTTACAGATGGCCCTGACATTGAGACTTACTCTAAGTGCTCCTCATATAACGGCATAGTAAAGTGTGATTGCATTGTACAGTCCAGGCCCCCCAGCATGGTCCATTTTGTTCTTGGTGACAAAGTTCTGGAAAGCACCACAGTAGAGACAAATGGCTCTGTTACTACTGGGACTCTGCAGACAGACTTTGGGTCTTTTAGGTTTGTTCACTGTCTGGCAAACAACACGCTGGGAAATGCTAACCTTACACTCTCTTTACCTGTTAATGGTAAGTAAAAATGTCAAAAATAGAACATAAATTCTTTTTATTCAACATTTACATGACAAAAAACACAGTATGTTTTTCTTTTTCTTTAGACAACATGCAATATATCTTTATTGCCTCTGGAACAGGTGTCATTTTGCTCATTATTTTGATAGCTACTGCTGTCGGAGTTAAAAAATGGTGAGTCATTAAGCAAATTATTGTAATATCATTAAAGGTAATGCCAAAAAACTCAAACAAAAACACCCAAACATATTTCTGCTAGCACGCGGAGATCAGGGGAGACACCACCATCTGACCTGAGCACAATGAAGTCAGAGAGACCTGTAGAGATCCCTCATTATGCCCCAGCAGGGAGGTATACATTCTTCACCTCAATTAGCAAACAAACAAAACTTTTGATTAAATGTAACCTAAGAAGGAGTGACTGAACTTCATTTTCATGTATATAAGAAAAAAACCTTGTGTGCTTTTCTTTATTGTTTCTGCAGGAAAGAGAACTATGAGGATGCCCATTGCAATGACATTTACACCAATTTTCATGTATATGGCAACGTAGGGGTGAGTTAGGTTTTCTTCATTTGTTATGTGCCTGCATCAAACAATAGAATGAATTAAACTTATTTTTCTATGCAGACTGACTTGGATGAATCAGTATACGCCAATGTGTAACATCTGTGAAAGACCAGCTGCAGTCCATGTTTGTGTCTTCAGATGGAAGTCAAGGAAAATGTTAAAAAAAAAAATCCTTATGCTATTTTCATCTTATATCACATATGTTATTCTAGTTGTTCATTAAGTGTTTTATCATCAGTCTCCCCGCAAAGGGAAGGGAGTATGTAGTCGATTCTGTCTATTTGTCTGTCTGTCTCATTTCCACTCTAGCTTCCAGTTTTAAATATACTATTTGCAAATATGTGTGATTTTTGTGAAAATGGGGTCAAGGTCGAACAAAATCAGTTCCCCATCTAATGAACATTTCTGGACAGCCATTATTCACCGACTCTGTACCAAAGAGCCTCTTCTATGCTTTTCTCACCAACCAGCTGAATTATTGTAATGAGATCCAGGATTTTCAGCAAAGCCCTGGACACGCTGTCGTATGAACTTAGCCAGGCTGCTGACATGCACTTAGATCTGGCAACATATCATCCCCATGCTCATAAATCTCCACTGTCATACAGTGCCACAGTGTCACATGATCCAGTGACTGAATTCACTGTGGACAGTTTATTCAACACAAAAGCTCCTCAAGAAGAAACTCATTGTGACGAGTGAAACCAGGGTTAGTGCAAGTACTGTATGTAAGTAAAGGCATTTTGCTCTCTCAGCTTGTGGAAAGGTGACATCCAAATTTGAAATAGAGTGGGATTTTTTAAATTGGGAGTGTTTAGTGGTTGTGAAATTAAAGCAATTTGTCTTTTCCGGGATTGTGTACCAACTTCAACACAGAATGCAGAAAAGCACACTGCAGTGTATGAATGTGATTGGTATTCTTGGTTTCTAATATCTTTAGGCATCAACTAAATACAGGAAACCCTGTATTGACTATAACTTGAGGTGCAGTCATTCTGCTTAAAAAAATAAAACGACAAAAAAACAAACAGAAAAAGTATTTAAGATGTGTTTAAAATGTTACATATTTTTTAAATCAAACTCATCATTTACAGTGGTTTGAAAAAATCTTTGCTCCCTTCCCAATTTCCTATTTTTTGTGAGTTTTCCACACTTAGATGTTTCAGATCAAACAAAATATTAAACAAAAGTAACTTATGTGCTAGCAGCACAGATGGAGCACTTGGCGAGACACAGGAGGCAGCTGACCACAGGCGGTTTTTGTGACACGAAAGAGTCCACCCAGACCCATTCTATGAGTTTTGTCCAGGAGACTCATGTCATTCAGAGCAGAGACTTGCAATGATTCAGCCAAGGTGATTAGAAGAATGCTGGGCTCTTTTGCTAATGATTGATCAAGGAACCTTTGTTCAGCTCCAGAGTCAATCAGGGCATGACAAAAGTGAGTGTGAGTGTTAAAGGTGAGTTTGACCAGGCACCTAGGTTGTGGTAGGGAAGCTTAGTTTATTTTGCCCGCTAGTATCTCTACAGTTACTGGCAAGAAAAATCTTCTGGCCACAAGGGACAGGTGGTAATGACATGCCCCTTTCTGCCACCATAAATACTCACTGACCATCAGCCACCTTCTCCTTACTGAGGGTCAGAGGCAAGCCCACCAAGCTGCATGAGGCGTGCTTCGGCATTTGTAGGCTCGCTTCTCCCTGGGCTGTGCTCCTCCAAGTCAGTTCCTCCAAACTCCAGAGGAGAACCTGCTAACTAGTTGCTGTAACAGGACAGGAATCTGCTGGGTCCATTAATGACTGGATTTCTTCATCAGTTTTGCTGACTGGTGGAAAAACAGGACCCAAAACCAGGACTTCCACAACAGGGACTGTGAGTTTATTTACAGTGTAAAACCAAAGTGAAAACAGTCCAGCAAAACATGATTCCCTCCATAGTGATCATCCCAGCTTCTTTCCCAAACACATGCGCTCCACAGTCCCCTCAGAAATATTTACAAAAACTAAGAGTTCTCTCCAAAATTCCACAGTTTTCATGGGCACACAAGGAGACAGAAGTTAGTTTTCTTTACCAAGACAAGACATGATAAGATCACCTTTTGCTAAAGCCAAGGTTTCATTAACTATTGTCAATCAATGTTCCAACAACAACTGAAGATCAGCCACTTTGTTAAATAGTGCCCAGCGATGAGTTCGTCAGCTGCAGGTGAGTATGATTATCAGTAGGTTCAAGGAAACAGAAACAGAAATGGCAGGTCAAGCCAGCAAGAACAGACGGGCCATGACAACTGCTCATGTTTAATTTGTGAATCTGCGAATTCAGTCAAAACTAAGGGCAGTGCAGATCTGTGTACAGTGAGAAAAGAGAATTTAAACAACCAACTAGCTAAAAATCAACTGAACTCTTGAGAAGAAAAGTCACCCTTTAAAGAGCCAGGCCAAAGCAAAGCAATCTACTGTAAGGGCTTTCGTTCAGGTCTCTCGTCAAGCTGGATTTTGTTTCAGGTGTATTTGCTGAAAAAAACCAAAAACGTTTCTAGCACTGGTTACACTAGTGAGCACCAGCAACACATTGTGCTCTAGAAAAGTGGCTCTCTGTGGGATGCATACCACTGGTGGTATGTGGGCTCCCTCTAGTGGTACGCAGGAAGCCTCAAAAAAAATTTAAGATTAAATAATATACCATGTTCTGATTGAGGGATTTCTGAAAAATTAAAACGTACAGCTCTGCTATCACTTCCAACATAAATGAAGACAGGAAACTAAACAGCAGTGACATTTGTAGGGTTACTGAAGTTGGGCTAGCTGGTATATAATGATGTGCTATGTGGTGGCTAGTTACACAGCTATAGTTAGCATAATATAAACACATTAGTACACTGAAGCTGGAGGATGAACAGTAAGTTTTTCCACTCGATAAAAGTTAATGTGAGGGTTCCCGATGGTTAGGGACAAATGCAATCGCAATTTAGGATGATGTAAACAGGCCAAACTTCAGTCAGGAGAACAACTGAGATAATCCATCCACAACATGAGGTTAGTCATTAATATACTGCTGCATGGGCTGGGCTGTAGTTACATTGTAAGGTTTTAAAAACTGACCTTTAAAATGAATAGTGGTACTATAAACTAAGATAGGCTGACAGTGATCCCTGACTGTTTTTATGAGCTTGTTGAGATAAAATAGATCACGATGCAAAGCATTAAAACATGTTAAAAATACAACATGTTAACACATCCTGTTTATGACAGTTAAAATATATAACATTCATATAAGACATAAAATTGTCTTGTGTAAATTGTATGTGGTGTTAAATAGACCTATACTTCTATACTTTAATGTCGGTCATAAGGTAAGGTCATAAGGTTATGTACTTAAGTAAAAGTACATAATTCTTCTGTGCTTTTAGTTAAGTATACTTTTTGAATACTTAATTTAATCAGGCATTATTCAATTTGTCCTTTTACTCAGAAGTGAGAAATGTTTATAAGCAAAGCAAACAGAGTCGATGCTCTCATGTGTTTTGGGGTTTTTACAACGTCAGATTACAATAGTAGGTCAAATAAGATGTATTTATATTATTATTAAGAGTCAGACTTTAAAGTGGTTGAGTAGAAAAGCTATATACAGTAAGAACAAGTTGATTTACTAAACTCAGCATTTGTTTTTTTGAAAAAGTGGGGTCCACAAATGACTGAATTTACAACAGATTAGCAAGAGGAAACTCAACTCATCAAAACCACAAACCGGCCTTGTAGTGCTAGATTAAATATGTAAAGGGTCATTCATATTAACCATAACCCCATCAGGGGTGGTTTTCTTATGAAGAGGAAATGATTGATTGTTGATTTAAAATATGGGTGAATGGGTGTTTTGTTCTTTTACACACACACACACACACACACACACACACACACATATATATATATATATGAAAATGTTTATGTTCCTGTAAGAAGCAGTTAAACACTCAAAGTGAATCACCCGCAACAACATGTAAAATTTGCCGAGCGACACAATGGTTTGAAAAATTGTTCTGTCTTTCTGGGCTAAAGCTTGGCAATTGTCTTTGTAAGGCTGTTTCCCCTCAAGGTTGGTCACTATGGTTTTGATGGACTCGGTCATGAATAGTTCAGAAAAGGATCTGATGTCATCAAGGATATGGCACATTGTGTAGGTCCTCTGGTCATCATTAGGACACTTTCAGCCAAAGGCCTAACTTGATTTTCAGGTGGGCAGAAGTTCCTATTTTTTGACTTAAATGTGGCATCAGCCTCAGTACAGTCATCCTCTTCTGGCATTTCTTGATCTGGATCATATTTTGTGCTGTCTTCAACTTCTAACACTTTCTCCTTTAATCTCCTCTAATCCATGGTGTCTATATGTGTGTGCATATGTCCATCTGACAAATGAAGATTTACCAAAACTCAGTTGTTTACACTAATTTCTGTCTCTACCATTAATTTCTAATTATCAGTCATTTTTGAACTTGGGAACACCAAATGTTGAATGAAATTGATACAATTTATCTTGTGTGTTGAAATCCTCTTTGTGTACAAAGTCATGGAATCTCATGTTAATCTGATCAAATTAACAATGTTTTTCAGTGATAAAACTTTTAAAGTTCTCCAATTTGACTGGAACACAACATGAAGGTTAAGGTACTGTCATGATCCTTCATAAGACACAACAACATCAACCTAATATTGCTTGATTGATTCCTTTTGACAAAACAATATCACATAAATGATTAACAAAACTATCAATTTCTTGATGCATGCTCAATCATCCAGGTAAGTAAATCTCCAAAAGTTGATTCTGTTCATCTGGATGTAACATTTTCAGTGGGAGAAACGTTTCATCACTCATCCAAGTGACTCCCCGATTTATACATCTGGCAAACCAAACAGCCTCTGGCAAAGCGGATGGCACAACACAGAAGAGCTACGTCGTCAGGCCAGGACTCTGGAGTCTATTCACACCTACAGGCCAGTGGACACTCTTTCAATGATGAGGATGTCCACATCCTGGGCAGGGAGGAACGCTGGTTTGAGCACGGAGTCAAGGAGGCCACTTATGTGAAAAGAGAAAGACCATCTTTGAATCGAGGAGGGGGCCTAAGGGTCCATTTTTTATTTACTTGTTTACTAACTAAGCCACAACTTGGCATTTTACAGTATCAGAGAAATAACCCCAACAATTCAACAACTCAAAACACTTCATAACACTCCTCTCTGGAGGGGAGAGGGAGGGGAAACAGGAGGACAAAGGAGGGGGGAACATCTAAGCTGTAGTGCCTCTTCACTTCACTGTGCAATTACCTTTTGTGCAATACTTTTTGTTAATAGTCAACGGTGCAATAGACTCCATACTTGAAATGTGCAATTCACTTGTATTTTTATTTTTATTTGTATTCCTATTTATTCTATTTATCCCCTTTGTATATTTTATCTATATATGTCTTTGTATTTATATATGTGTATATATATATATAATATTCTGTAACTCTGTAACTTCTGTCGGTGCTGTGCTTTTTTGGAAACCAAATTTCCCAGAGAAACCCACCCGAGGGATTAATAAAGTTTTATCTTATCTTATCTTATCTTATCTTATAATGGTGGCTAGGAAAAAAATCCTGTTTAACAGGTAAGAAGCTCTAGCAGAACCAGGCTCAAATGAGAGAGCCATATGCTGTGACTCATTAGTGGGTAAGCGGAGACTGAATGTGTCAAATATATGCAGAATGGAAAGTACGCAACTCATTTCACAGGAAATAAAAGCACCCACACTTATGTATCACTATTTTATTTTATTTTTTTAGATCTGGCAGTCAGAAGAAGAGATGGACGCTTTAGAGTGGCTTTTGTTTTTGTGCATTTACTTCAAATGTATGGTATATTCTGTAAAATGTACACAGTTAATTGTAATATTTATTTTTAATATGCTCTAGAAGTGAGCACTCTTACAGTTGTATAGTAGACAGTTATTTGTTTTATGATGTGCTATTTTTCTCCAGTAAAATGTCTAATTTTCAGAGGGTTTCATACTTTGTTTTATGCATTTATACTTTTCTTCTGTGCTACTTTTATGTTTAATTTTGACACATTTTGTTGTTCAATTTATGACAGTGACTCAAATAGCGGAATTATCTTGGACCGCTGATGTGCCAAGCGAAGTAAAAGGTCTCCTTGGCTCATGTGTGGTGATCCCCTGCTCTTATAATTACCCAGATCCACAAGGGAAGGCCAAAAGCTTCACAGGGATTTGGTTGACCACTGAGGGGGATCGAGTCATCTATCATCCAACTGAGTCGAAAATTGTCAAGCAGTATCAGAGTCAAACAAAACTTCTTGGAGATGCCAGCAAGAACTGCTCTCTGATGATTGAAAAGCTTCAACAAGATGACAGAGGACCTTTTTATTTCAGGATTGAAATTGAAGGTTATGACAGAGCTTCTTACAGAAATAACAAAGTCTCCATTTCAGTGATGGGTAAGTAAAGTCAACAAATTGGAGGGAACAAATAAAAGTAAACTTACACTTTGTATTTGTATTTCTCATAATCCTTTCTTTATTTCCAGTGTTGATATTTGAGGTTTAGAATTCTGCATTTCTGATCAG